ATCAGTCCACACACAACAATATGATATAGCTTGTGGAGAAGTTCATGGGTAACGGGGTGAGTAGTGTTCCAACAATGAACAATGACGAGCGCAGTCCACCAACTCTTGCTTCTGCGAACTTCCCCAAGTTCGTGGCGAAGATGTGATGTGCTCGCAGCCGATGCGACTTCTGAAACTGGTACGGTAGCGGATCGGTTTACCCTTATCGTCCAGGATCTTTGGCTGGAGGACACCATCAGGCAGTGCAATGAGGCTCCCAAACTCTAACATGCTGGCAAACTTGTAATGGTTTGCCGTAGGGCAGGCGCACTCCATCGCCTTCCAATCATTATCGTTTCATTCGTCGAGTTGCCGGTTCATGTACGGGACGACGGTCATCCATGGGTCTTCTTCGAAGTCCTCCTTGGTTGCTTCGTCGATCCACGTTTGACTGTCATGATGCCGCATTGATCTCGCACAAGGTGAAAACGATCTTGCTAAGCTCATGTGCGTCGTAGGACTCATGCCGACGCTTGTCGAAGGTCTCGACGACATTACGCTCCCTACAAATCACGCACACATAAAAGACACATACGGACGTGTAGACCATCGTAAATAAAGTTGCCCAATGATAAGTCCCCTGGTGCGACCAACACTCAATCGTCACGCCCCGAACCATATATCGACAAGCTCGTCACTTAAGCAAAGTGCGAGTGAACTCTCACTTACGTGCGAGTGAAGTCGCACTCAGATGAAGAGGCAGGTGCGCACACCATCAGCGTGATGATTAAATATACACACTGGCTTGTCATTTGTATATTCCTGGATGAAAATGTCATCAAATCTTTGCATGGACGAATTCGCAACATAGATTCATGACGTACACTTAAGCGGATTGCTCGGGGTTCAAAGCACAAGTGCGAGTGAACTCGCGAATTCTCAGGGTGCACACAGCAAGTGCGAGTGAACTCGCACTTAGATGGAGAGATAGGTGCGCACACCATGAGCTTATGTGTGTAATGTATAAGGAAATTGGCGTGTCCTTTTTGTATACCCTGATGAAAATATCGTCATTTTTTTGCATGGACACGATACATAACATCCGTTCACAACTTTCACTTCTACTGATGACGACAGGCCGGTGTGTACATGCATTCATTCAAAGTTTGAATAAGCGACCCGAACGTAAGACACTGAGGCGCATCTATTGGAGCATCTTCCGTGAACATAGAAATATATTTCATGCGAACGAACCGGGTCCTTCCGGCTTGAGACCTGCCTATAGCATCCCGTATAGAGGACGCTTGAGCTTCAACCTCACGCCATGCGTCCACATCGTCCACCTTACCCCCGATTACCAAATCCCATGTCCCTTCGAATTCTCTTGTGACCAAACCCATCCCGYCTCTCCCGAGGTGCAACTCATTCCTGGACACGTACACCACAACGTAAGTCAAGGTCCTATTCCGATTCGAACACGCTACGCAAAGGACCCTAGATAAGAATAACCTTCCGAGACGCAATGTTACGCAACAGTAGGAAACTGCTCGAGGCAACAACCCTAGAGAGCGCAACGGGTACTCCTCGAGGAACTCGGAATGTCGTGCACAGGCAAGCAACTCGTGTTTCAGCGCACAGGACCATGTGTGCGGCGAAGCAGTCACGACGTTGCAGGCCAACACATTGTGATGACGAGCAATATTTAGCTTTGCACTCAAGCGACGGCACCGAACTGAACCGAGCACAGTTCTAGGCACGGGAATGAAACTCCCGAACTCGCACATATTTGCGAACTTGTAGTCGTCCGCCCACGGGCACTCCCTGAGCATTTTGTCCCACTGGTCCTCTTTCCACGAGTCCTGGGGAGCATCAGTGAATGGGATGACCCTTATCCAAGGATCACACTCAAAGTTGTCTCTTGTCGCACTGTCAATAACAGTGGAGTCTCCACTGCCGGAGACGCGCAGCGAGCATGGCGGAAAAGGGTCTGCCATGCGCTAACGCCAAAGACCCGGGGTTATCCATTCCGAGACGGCCATCGCGATCGGCAAACGCCCTACAGGCCACAACGAAAAAATCAGCAAATGCATACACCCAGCTCATAGGGAAAGAAAATAACCATGCCCCCAAGGACGTCCGTCGAAACTCCGATGACGGGCGTCTTGTTGAACACCACCAGCACCGCATGGCCGCTCTGCACCCAGCTGGGCCAGAGGTACATCAACGGTCATGGCAGGTGAGAGAGAGAGAGAGGGAGAGAGAGAGAGAGAGAGAGAGAGACTCTAGTTGAACAGCGAGTCAATTCGTAGTTATCGGTGTTCGACAGAGCACCTTAAGGAAGTGTCAAACAACACTACATGTATGCAACGCCGAGCACCCATCGACACGTATACAAGCAATGAAAGTGATCACGAGCCTTCTGCATTGGTTGAAATGACCACATTCACAAGGTGCCTAACAGTCGGCGATCAGAGGTCTCTAGTGCTAAAAGCATTCTTAGGGGACCTTGCGGTCGTGTTAAGAACTTATTGGCGTAGCACTAGATGCTCACCAAACAGTTTTCGATGTCAATTGTATGGACACACCACATGATGCTTACAAGCATGCAGTGGCTGATTGCAGAATCTTCTATCCGGTGTGGATCTTTGAGAACAGATTTGACGCAATCCACCGTTAGATCCATTCCGGCGAGGGGGACCTGCAATCCTGCCACTGTTTACTGTACTCATCACGTGGAAATCGACGACGTGAGGAACCAACAATGAACATTCTTAGGGGACTTTGCGACCGTGTTTGGAACTTATTGGCGTAGCACTAGATGCTCACCAAACATTTCTGGATGTCGGTTATATCGACACATCATATGATGCCTTACAAGCAAACCGTGGTCGGATTCCGGCCCCATCCCCAGTGTGGATATTTGAGAGCAGATTTGACGCAATCCACCGTTACATCTACATCGGAGAGGCGGACCGGTCATCCTGCCACGGTTCAATGTAGTCATCATGTGGGACTCGACAACGCAAGAACCCGACGATGTTGCAATTGGGACGTGCTCTTGCTTCGTGATTGTAGGTGCTTACCGGCGGTTCGTTCGATTCCCTCCTTGACATGAGCATCTTGTTATCGAAAACATGCATGCATCCCATCACATGAAAATGAGAGATCGAAACATTTGCAAGGTCACTATTGTGAAAGTGAGGAGAAATGGAGAGAGGGAAACATTTGAAGGTTGCCTGTTGTTTTTGTAAAGGTCAAGTCAAAGCAAAGTGCGAGGGAATTGTTTGGGGTTCACACCAGAAGTGCGAATGAACTCGCACTAAGATGGAGAAGCAGGTGCGCACACCATCAGCGCGATGACTTAATATGGACGTTGGCTTGTCATTTGTATATCACCGGATGAAAATGTCATCAAATCTTTGTGTGGAGAAGATACATATTCATTCCTAAAAGTAACTCTTGTCATCGCCTTCAAGTTGCCTAGTGTTTTTCTAAAGGTGAAGTTGTACACCAAACGGAGAGTTTCCAGAAATCATTCAATGCAAAAAAATCATTCAATGGCAAATTGCAAAGTACACAAAGGCGTTTCCAAAAATAATTCAATGCAAAATTGCAAAGTACACGGAAGCTTTCCAAAAATCACAGACTACATGAAGCCTTTCCAAAAATCATTGAAGGACACGTTCAAAGGCACATGTAGGCTTTCCAAAAATCATTCAATGCTAAAAACATTCTTAGGGGACCTTGCGGTCGTGTTCAGAACTTATTGGCGTAGCACTAGATGCTCACCAAACAGTTTTGGATGTCAATTGTATTGACATATCACATGATGCTTACAAGCAAGCAGTGGCTGATTGCAGGACCTTCTATCTGGTGTGGATCTTTGAGAACAGATTTGACGCAATCCACTGTTAGATCCATTCCGACGACGGGGACCTGCCATCCTGCCGCTATTTACTGTACTCATCACATGGAAATCGACGACGTGAGGAACCGACAATGAACATTCTTAGGGGACTTTGCGACCGTGTTTGGAATGTCGTATAGTCTACATGACATCCCCTTATCTACAGAAGACGATTGTGCACAGTCTATATGACACGCCCTCGTCGCCACAAGCCGAAAAGTCCTGCATTACACTTGAAACAAACCCTACCTCAAATACGAACATGTCGAACACAAGTTCAACCGAAGTCCTACAGGAAAGCTGATTCAATCCGAAGGCCTACACAAACGCTGATTCGTGCCGAAGTCCTACATCAGACAAAAGTTAATCCAAAAACTGGCACGATGTTCACGTGCCTACACAAGTCCCACACAAAAGCTCATCCAAGTGCGACATGATGTCCACAACGTAATAGGGTCAGACCCGCTGCACGCATAACAATATTCATGATGAAAGATTCTAAAGGCGTGAGGTGATAAATGCGAGTCTATTCACATATAGAATCCGAATATCCTAAGACGATGAGTATCTTCGTAGTATGCGTCGCATGAAAAAAGTTGGTACGATCTTCATGGTAGCAGCATGTACAGTCTTCGAGTAGCTTCCCGCGATCGTCGTCGTTGCTCTCGTCTATGTTAAACTCGATTAAAAGGACTTGGTTTGGGAATTCGGGCCTGAAGATGTGCTTCGATATTCGACAAGTCGCGCATGAGTATATCTCTTAAAACTCGATTCAAATTGCTCCAGTGACAGATTTGGAATGGACAATGGTCTCCCCAGAACGGGGGACTGTCATCATCTTCTCTCACGCCAGATACAAGGAATAGTTCTCCATCTAAGCACGAGGCGATATGCATGATGAAGATCGTTAAGAAAAACGTAATAATAGGCTCACAACCTTCTGACATTCTATCGAAAGATGTGCTAGTTACGTATGAATAATACAAGTAGCTTCTCAACTCCCCTTCGGACGCAATGTAGAAATCAATTCTGAAGATGGGCCTAAAGCGTAGCGTGACCATCACAATGTACTGAAAAGCTGGGGTAGGCGGGGTCGAAACAAACGGCTGGACACGAGCGCGAACGTCTTCGGGGACCAGAAGGTAGAGGTATCTGGGAAGCCCAATGTTGCCAAACCACTCTAAACCATAAATGTTCTCATCTGCGGCAACAACTACACTTCGCAGACTTCTGAAGTAGTTGAGGTCGCTGACAACGATCGTCTCACTGACACTTCCAGACGACATCCTGCATCAGAATAGAGAACAGCGTCCTTGCGGGTGTCAAACATTCCACCTTGTCATACACAGAGAGGTGGGTAAACGACGAAGTTGAGACCGACTAATGTTGGTAAAGTGTGAATGAACTCGTAATTAGATAGACAGTTTGTCATGCAACGGGGTATACCAAACGGGATGGGGCATGATGAACGAGAGATAAGTAAGGGGGCGAACATGGAATTCGATGGGCTGTAAGCATAGTGCGAGTTTATTCGCACTAGAGAAAACACGAAGCAACTAATTCATAACGCCGCTAGTGAAGATGTAGATGTCCAGCATCGCAGTAAGGGCGGTCGCACACATATCTCGTCTGCCGGTTGCGAAGTGTCACTTCCTGAGGTCCGGAGGCTGAATAATCCAGATGGCGGTAAACAAATTGCAATTCGTTGTCCCTATGTTCGACTGTGGAATTTATTTCATTGCAACTATCGAAGAGGTAGTGAAGTTGTTGGTGCACCAAACAGTCAACCCGCAAATGCAGCTCATCTTTGAGTGATTGATCTATGGCGAGCTTGTTTTTGAACCGTGTAAGGGAGCCAGTAGGGCCGGTTGTGTGAAACGCTTGAAAAGAAGTGAGTTTGACACCGTGAAATTCCTCCCTTGCGAGAAAAAGAGGTCTCATTCGTCGACCGTCCACCTTCACAGCAGTGAAGAGCGTCACGACGGTGGTGCCTCGATTACGCACCCTCACTCGACCGAAGAAGTCTATGATAACCGGCGCCGACTTCGTCGGTTGGCCGAGGCAAAACAAGGCACACAGTTCTTGATGCAACTTGTCCAATGGCGCCCACTTAAGTTTCTCACATCAATGTGCCATGCTTCAACCATCTTAGAAGTTTCGACGGGTTCCCTCTTCAGAAGTGACTCCAACTCGATAGGGTATGCCTGTACATCCTTCATCATAATGTACAGGTACCGAAAGTTCGACCCTGCATCATGGCAAATCCGAAGGTGTCCTTCTTCCGCACTTTGCCACGAAGGGATTTCCCCGTCCGGGGCAATATCATTTTCGAAGTGCAGGTAGTCACGGTCCTGACCAGAGCGTCCAATGTCTTCCCAAATGTTCTTCGACAAAAAAATCAGATCGATCTCCGGTGCTAAGGAGTTCCTATTCTGCGATGAAGTCCCGATATCCATTCTGCACCATCGGAGAAACGCAAAGAAGCGCATCAGTTGCGATTCTCCCAAGTGCATAAGCAACAAATACAGGATCTTGATATGCAGAAGTTTTATAACTGCCGTCCAATCCCGACTTATTTTCTACACGTTATTCATGTGCGTCGATAAGTGAGAGTAAATTCGCACTTCGCAAGTGAGCGCAAGTCCTGCAACCGCCGCTTAATTTCGACTCATTTCTAACACATCATTCATGTGGAACGGTCGGACTACTCTCCTATTGGGGACGATTTTCCTTACATATATTAAGGATGTCCGTTGCGACAGTACGAACAATCGTACACATAACGGGCCGTTGACAGACGATATTCCTCCTCTCGAAAAACAGTCTCTAAGTTGTGGTCCCTATGTTCCACTCTCCAGAAAATCTCGTCACAGTTATCAAGAAGGTAGTGCAACAGAGAATGCATCAACGGAGAAACGCAAGGAAGCGCGTCAGTTGCGATTCTCCCAAGTGCACAAGCAACAAATACAGGATCTTGTGCAATGGTCAGACCACTCTACTATTGAAGACCACGGGGTGAAAAAAGTGACAACAATGACGAGTAGCTCAAACTCATGTCAACAAAGAGGTCGTCGAAGAACCGCGAGGTTGTTCTGTGAGTACAGCAGCAAAGTGCTAATTAACTTGGAGTTGTGGAAGTCCCCAAATAGGAAGGCTTACATAGCAGGTCAAGGCGACTTGTGTCCATCGTCATATTAAGGACAGTCGTAGATCTGTCTCCGCCTACCACCTACGAATTCCAATGTTTGGACACCCGAATGGTGATGCGAAACTTTTCGTAGAGTGTTGTCATTGTACTTGTCCTTGTGTTCCAACGTGAAGAATATCTCCTCACAACATGTTATTCGTTAGAATGGGACATTATATTTTAAATTGGTACTCGCAAGCTATTAATTTCATATTAAAATCGCTATATTTTGGACCTGAATGGAACTTAGGAACCCGAAGAATGCAATTGACAGACCATAAATTGAATCTAAACTGGAGATTCAAGGGAACCGTTTACTGCTCATAATGAATTAAGTGTGGATTCCATTGCACTTCCATAAATTTTGTAACTTAAAAGTCGTTACGGTTATAACATGAATTGTTAGACTCTCGATTTCTTTACACCTTGCTCGATTTTGTGTCTGCATTGATTCGGACCTATTTTAAATGACATTGTGACTTCCCTTTATTTACTGAAACTCAATCGAAGTGTGACTTTGAGGCAATCACACGGATGGTTTAAGTACTAATCGTCTATGGATTTTGTCGCACTTCGATCATTTATGCTTTAAATTTATGCACTAACTTATTAACTCATGTGAAGAGTAAAGTCTACTTTAAGCCTTAGGCAATCACACGACACTGTTCGGAGTGATTGGCATAAATTGGAACTCAATTGAAGAGTAAAGACCATTACATGGTAAACGAGATGGTTTAAGGATGGATTCCAACGCACTTCGATAATTTTGGACTCTATCACACTTCGACAATTTATGTGACTTTAAAGACGTAACTGGCATGTCATTGTCATACATTGAAATTCACTCGAACGCAGACGTAATGAGACATTGAACGACAGGGTTGTGAATGACCTCAGAGTCTGCATCACACGGACTATCACTGAGCATTGAGTCAGACGTGCTACACATGATATTGTGTGAAGGAGAAACTAGAAATTTTCATCGATGATTCAATGCAATCACACGGTAAACAAGATGGTTCATGTATGGATTCCGGCGCACTTCGACAAATAATCATAAACTGATATGACATTGTCATATCAAACTGAAATTCACGTGAGTACCATGGATTCCGTCTCACTTCAAGAAACATCGTAATTATGAAAAATTAAAAGTTGAAAATTGTATCGGCAATTAAAAGTTCAAAATTGTACCGACACGTGCAAGAAATCACAAATGCAAGATTGAAGTACGTCTCAATTAAACGCTACAAGTCAACTATATATTGAGCTGCGTCAAAATTAAACGCTACGAGCCGCAATAATCTATACTTTCTAAAACGCTATCATTTACAAAATTTAAAGTTCCTACCAATGTCCCCGCGTCCCATGAGAACCAAACCCGTATAATGCATTCATTGACGACCCGAAAGCAAGGGTTTGTGGCTGTCCCTTCGTCGCCACCCTCGAGAACACCGAAATGTATTTCATCCTTACAAACCTACAGGCACCTGCCAAGGACTTACCGATGGCGTCATGCACACAACATGTCACTTACTCTACCTCATGCCACTTATGAACCTCATCAATTTGACCGACAATCTCCAAATCGGATTGTCCGTTCTCGTACAGAAGGCGCAAATTCCTCATGTTGCAACCATAAATTCTAAGGTGGTTGCAAGAAACTAGCACTACAACGTCTACCAAAGTCCGCTTTCGGTTTGAACATGCCACACACAACACTCTGCAGAAGTCGCAATCGGCTTCAGACAACCGTACGCAACAATACGACACATCTTTTGACCGTATTCCGGCACCGCGCAGCGGATATACTTCCAAAAATGGATTGTAGGATGCACAGTCCAACAACTCTTGTTTGAAGTCTGCAGACCACACCCGAGGTGACCTCGTGACGTTGCGGAACGGGAGAGCGGAACGATTTCGGGTGTTGGCGGACTGCGCATTGTCGTCTTGCCTCCGACGTCACGGTCGTTTTCCTGCTGCGTCGTGGTTTTCACCTGGCACGGAAGTGCAGATCCTATCTGTCCATCTCTATTTCTTTGTTGCATAGTTCGGATCCCGGCTGACTTCGCCTTTCCACTTCCCCTTTGATCTGACTGTGGTCTTCCTTGTGCCCCTTAAGTGCGGTTCCGGTTTTTCTCTATGTCTCTCTCTCGAGAAGCCTCCTTAAGTTCGGATGCCGGCGGACTTCGCGTTTTCTTCTGCCCGTTCAGCTGACACTTGTCTTCCTGATCATCCGTCGATTGCAAGAACAACCCTAGTTCGTCCGAATCCGAACTTCTCAATTTGCCCGGACAGGGTCACAGAACATGTTGGCCAGGCTCCTGCTTTCAATTAGGCTTCATCGAGTGCCAGAGAGCGCCACGGGGGACAACATACGAAGTTCGGATGCCGGCGGACTTCTCATTTTGAGGTGGCCTCTGATGTTAGTGTGAACGTCCTACATCCTCGTCGAGTTTAACGTCCAAGGAATTGTGGATCTTGTGTCTCTTTCACTGTCTCTCTCTTATGCACCGTCCTTTAGTTCGGATTCCAGCGAACTTCTCATTTGACCTGTGCGTTGGTCGGTTTGTGATCTTCCTGGTGCCCCATCGGCCGAATAAACAGTGCTGAATCCCCGACGCACTGCGAGTTTTCACTGGCTTCTCTCTCTCTCTCTGCCTCTCGTTCTCATACCCTCTTGAAGTTCAGATCCCAACAAACTTCGCGTTCTCACCCTTCCGAATTGGGGTGCCGGAGGGTCTTTGTGTGCGGATTTCGCTGCGGCAGAGCCTGCGTTGTTGCAGCGGGCCTTCATCTGCCCTGGCCCACAACCAGGGCCTATTTGGCTATTTGCCAGTTCGGCCTGTGGGACCAGGCCGTGGCCTGACCCCACAGGCCGTGTGCTTATTCAGTCCAGTCCAGTCCTGCCCGGTACCACTGTCGGTACCACTCTAGTCCAGTCCAGTCCAGTCAGTCCGCTGGGGTAATACCCCAGCTGCAGTTTGTTTTGTGATTCATTCTTCATTTGCACAGATTGGAGTACGTGTGTGTTGAGTCTGCGTTGAAGTTCCGCTGTCCCTTCCAGCTCCGTCTTGATCCTAACGGACCGCCATCCCGG